ATTGTGGCAAAGATTATGGATGATCCATAATGATCCAAGGGACTTCTGTGCCAAGGGGGAAAACAAACCTGCCTCGGTTTGTTCCATAAGTGAATAAAATGGGAAACCTGAGGTGTTGAAACGAAATCTCAGAGAGGGATGAAGGAGCTCAATGAGAAGCATCCACAATGGGCCAGCTTCTCCAGCAGGACCAGCGAGGATAAAGCCTTGGGGACTCCAAGGAACCCTTCCCACCTGGAATTTAAACCTGAGGGTTCGTGGCCATGGCACTTCCATTTCCAGCACTGACAGCCCGAGGAAGGGAACAGCCAAACTCTCCCTGTTTGTAACCCAAGGGAGCAGGACCTGCCCGCAGCACGTCAGGGGATTCTCCAGTGGTTTGGGTGGGAAGGGACCTTTAAATCCATCCCATCCCACCCCCTGCCATGGCAGGGACACCTCCCAGTGTCCCAGGCTGCCTCCAGCCCCATCCAACCTGGCCCTGGACACTCCCAGGGATCCAGGGGCAGCCCCAGCTGCTCTGGGCAAACGTCCCAGCCTCACTCTTGGATTTGTGGTTGGTTTTCCCACCAGGGCTCTGTTTCCCCCCACTTCACCTCTCCAGTCCAACCTTTGCCTCAGAACTGGTGACACTGGGAGGGAAAAGCCAAACTCCCCAAGCGTGTTTGGGCTGGGACTGCTCTTTTCCCAGCTCTCCAGAATCAGATTCCCAGATGTCCACAGATTGCCACCTCTCCCTTTTCTCCTGTAATTCCAAAGTGACAGGAGGAGCAAGAAGGAACCTGCCCTGAGCTGAGCCAAGGAAGTCCAAACCTGTGCCCTGGGACCTGCAGGGACAAGTTCCCGGGCCCAGGAAGCTGCTGCCAACTCCCAGCTCCTGAAGTGGCTTCCTCCACTCCTGGGCTGCTTGAATTAAACAGGAAGTTGAATTAATCCATTTTTTGCCATGTCCCCAGTCAGAAATCATGGGATGGCCTGGGTAGGAAGGGACATTGAAGCCCACCCAGTGCCAGGTGGGCTTTAATATCCCCAGGGACACCTTCCACTATCCCAAAGTGCCCCAAGCCCTGTCCAGCTTGGCCTTGAACACCTGGGATGGAGCAGCCATGGTTTAACACTGACAGAATTATCCTCCATTTTCCCAGCCAGGAATTCCCAGAGCTGTCCACCCCTCAGCATCAAAGCCAAACCCAGCTGAACAAACTCTGAGAAAGCCTTTTATGGATAGGATCCAGCTCTGATTTGGAGAGTCCCTTTGAGGAAATGCAATTCCATTTGCTAAGTCCAACCCAATTCAAGGAAGGGGGAACTCTGAGAAACTTCTAAAGGTGGTAAATTTTGGAACTATAGAATGAAAACCTGGATGAGCTCTGGGAAAGGGGGTGCTGGGGAGACTCATCCCTTCCAGGGCCAGGGGTGGGGAATGGGAAGGAATCAGAGCTAAGCTGAAGAGTCTGAAGAATTCCTTCTGCTCCAAGGGCTCAGGAAAAGCAGCAATGGAAATGGCACAACGACCACAGAATCATGGAATGGCTTGGGCTGGAAAAGCCCTCTGAGATCATGGAGTCCAACCATTCCCAAGTGCAGCCAAGGCCACCCCTGACCATGTCCCCAAGTGCCACACCCACACAGCTGTGAAATCCCCCTGGGGTGGGGACTCCCTCTCAGCTGTGTGGGAGGTTCTGGACATGGAAGGGAGCAGCTCCAGGAGATTTGGTGCTCTCAGGCTGTTTCATCTGGCCACTCTCAGTTCCTACCTGGACCCTGGAGTTCCACACTCCATTTTCCCCTGGGAATGTGTCCTTTGTGCTCACTCAGCACAGGACTCTGGGAGACAGCAAAGTGTCCCCTAGAGGAAGTGACATTGTCACAGGAGTGACAGAGAAATCCAAAATAAAAATAAGAAAGAATCTCATCGACTCCAACCCAATTAGGCTTTCTCCAAGCTGGAAGCACCTGCAGAACCACCTGGAAAGTGGAAGCTCCAACACCTGAATTTTGATGCCTCAGCTCCCCTGCCTTGATTCTTCCATGCAAGGAAGGGGAGAGTGATCTCCTCATAGCAGGGGGGGGCCTTAATGAGTCCCAGCACTTGGCAGGGGACTAATTAATCCCTGCAGGAATTACTGGGAACAGGGCACAGATCTGAGCCCAGGCTCCAGCTCAGTTCCTCAGGTTCTCTATCCCAAAAGCACTGTGCAGTCACACAGCCAAGATTCCCCATTCTGGGGATGGAAAAACAGAGGCAAGCTGGGCTGGAGGCTGGGAACAATCCCAAAGCTCGGAGCTCGGGAGCTTCCCGAGGCACAGCCAGACGCTCCAGGGGAGCTCTGCACTCCCAGGGAAGCTCCTGCTCCCTCAGCAGCAGCAACCACCACTGGCAGGCCCGTCCTGGGATCAGGGACATCCCTCTCCTGCCCTACTCCAGCCACCCTGAATCCTACCAGGGTGACCAAAGCCAGGGGTCCCTCAAGGAAAACGAGTCAGGCTGTCCAGAGCAGCTGGGGCTGCCCCATCCCTGGAAGTGTCCAGGGCCAGCCTGGATGGGGCTTGGAGCAGCCTGGGACAGCGGGAGGTGTCCCTGCCCATGGCAGGGGTGGATGGGAATATATTTGTGGTCTCTTCCCACCCAAACTCTTCCCTGAGTCCAGAACCCCCATTTCCCCAGGACCATCCCTTCTCCACAAGGAACCATCACAGAGCTTTGCTGCTGTCCAAGAGGCAGGCATGGGTTTAACCCCCAGCTGGAATTTCCCTCTGTCCCACCCTCAGGAAAGCTGGGAACACACTTTAGCGATATGGGAAATGCAGAGTGTAAAAAATAGACAGAATTCTCCAGATTCTTACTGCAGCTGGGATCCGTGGGATCTCCTCCAGGCTCTCCCATCTCTGTATCCCAGAGCTGTTCCCATCTCTCCAGTCCCAACACCTTCCTGGACAGCAGGAGCTGAAAGGAAAATGAAAGTGATCTTTCCTCCTCTTTGCTGAAGGACTGACTCCATGCTGAGCTCTGCAGTATGCCGGGGTCATGGAACCATGGAATTGTTCAGGTTGGAAAAGCCCTCAGAGATGACTGAGTCCAACCATCAACACAGCACCACCTTGGTCATCCCTGACCATGTCCCCAAGCGGCACATCCACACTTTTCTTGGACATTCCCAGGGATGGGGACTCCCCCGCTGTCCTGGGCAGCCCCTTCCAGTGCTTTACAGCCCTTTCCATGAAGGAATTTTCTCAATATCCAGCACAAACTTCCCCCGGTGCAACTTGAGGCTGTTTTGCTCTGGTAGCAGATCCCAAATCCCCCCGGGCTCCACTGTGCTCTGTCAGGGAACTGGGGAGAGGGAGAGGGTGCCCCCCAGCCTCCTTTTCTCCAGGCTGAGCACAGGGACTGGTTTTGACCATTCTGAGCTGTATTTGTGGCAAAACCCAAAGGATTTGGCTGTGCCAAAGCCAAGCAGAGGAATTCTGGAGCTAGGCCACTCCCAAGCCCTGGGACAGAGCCATATCAGCAGTTCCAAAGTCCAGGAATGAGAGATAAGGAGCCATTGCAGTTACAGACACACCAGGAATGGACAGCATGGAAAGGCTGGAAAAATAGGAACTATCAACTCCATAAAAATAAAATAGGAACTATTTATATCACACTATCCCCTGAAACAGCAGCGCAGGAGGATTCCCCAGGCACATCCTGGGGGGATTCCCAGTAAACAAGGAGCATGAACCAGGGTCTCTGGGAAGGAAATAACCCTTCCAGCCAGGTACAGGGACAACAATTTGGGATGCACCCACCAAGCAACTCTTCCTAGAATTCCTCACAGGGAAGCATGAAAATCCCCAAAGGAAAAAAGAAAGGCATAAATTATTTCCCCCTTTAAGTGGGAGCAGAGATGGGGCTGGGCTTAGTTCAGAAACTTCTCAAAGGTGAAAGGAAACAGCACCAAATATTGACACAAGGGAAGGGAAACATTCCAGGGGGGAAGGGTGTGGGATGCATGATCCTCCAGTGCCCCCAGCAGCACGGCTGGGAAAGAGCAGCTGAGCAGGAGCAGAGGGAGGAAAACACGGTATGAGTGACACCCCTGGAGTCAGCAGAGCTTCCCCAGAGCTCCTGGAACGTCAGGGATTTCCCAAAGGGATTCACCTGCTGGAAGAGCTGCAGGATCCCTGTGGAAGTTCGATTTATGGGAAGGGCCTCGAAGTTTTCCTACAACCCTGCTCAGCATCCTGAAACACCTGGGATCATGGAATGGTTTGGGTGGGAAGGGAACTTAAAATCCATCCCATCCCACTCCACCCCACCCCATCCCATGGGCAGGGACACCTCTGCCGAGTCAGGAACAAACCATTTTTGAACATGCATAGAGTGGAACCTAAAAACACAACTCCACACACCTCCCACTGGCCCAGGTTCCTCCAAGCCCTGTCCAACCTGGCCTTGGGCACTGCCAGGGATCCAGGGGCAGCCCCAGCTGCTCTGGGAAATCCATCCCAGCCCCTCCCCACCCTCACAGCCAGGAATTCCTGCCCAATATCCCATCCATCCCTGTCCTCTGGCAGTGGGAATCCATCCCCTGTGTCCTGTCCCTCCAGGCCCTTGTCCCAAGCCCCTCTCCAGCTCTCCCTTTAGGCACCAGAAGGGGCTCCAAGGTTTCCCTTCCCTTCCCTCCCTTGACAGATCCACACATTTGCTTTTCCCCCTGCAGGAGGAAACAATGAATTCTCAGTAGGGACAAGGACAAATCCATGCAGGTTTCCCCATGTCCCTGCTCACCTGGGCAGGAGCAGCGACACAGGAGCACCTCCTGGAGGTGACACCTTTTCTCCCTCTGGAACAGAGCTCACCTGCAACAAGGCTCGGCACACCCCTGGGCTTCCCTCGCTCTCACTGGAGCAAGGAAAAGTGGAAGTACAACAGAATTAGCAGCTCAATTCCCTGGCACTCCTCAGGTGCTGAAAGGGATGGGAATAAAAACAGGATTACAAACCCCAACACGGAATTTAGGATAAAATCCAGTGATTTTTATTCCAAGAATATCATTCCCCAAAGCACTCACCATTAGGGATGGACCCCTGTCCCGGGAGAGCTGAGCCAGGGGCACTGGGTCAGGGAGGGGATTGTCCTCACCCCAGTCTTGGGGGAGTTTTGGGTGCATTTTGGGAGAAGGTTCCTCATCCAGAGGGTGTTGGGCACTGGATCAACTCCCCAGGGAATGGTGACAGCCCCGAGAAGCCAGAGCTCAGAGTGCTGGGATTTTGGGATCAGTGGGATTTTTGGGTTGTCCTGGGCCAGGAGTTGGAGTTGGTCCCTTCCAACTCAGGGTACTCCATGACTCTGTGGTCCTTTGTGGGTCCCTTTCAACTCCGATTATTCCATCATTCCGGAGGTCGGGGAGTGCTTGGACAACACTCTCAGGCACTGGGTGGGATTTTGGGATGTCCTGTGTGGGGCCAGGAGTTGGAGTCGATGATCCAGGTGGGTCCCTTCCAACTCCAATGTCCCAGGACTCTGATTCTCACAGGTCCCTTTCAGCTCTGGATATTCCATGGTTCTGGAGGTCTGGCAATGTCTGGACAACTTGGGCATCAGGATTTTGGAATTAATGGGATTTTTTTGGAATGTCCTGTGCAGGGCCAGGAGCTGGACTTGAGGATCCTTGCGAGGCCATTCCAATCAGGACATTCTACATTCCCTGGTATTCCAGAAATATTCTTGATACACGTGGAAAGCACGCATAGAACTTGGCCTGCAGGAGCGCTTCCTTGGAACAACCTCCCACCCCACAAAATCGGTTAAAAAAAAATCACTCACAGACATTCCTTGGCCTGGATTCCCACGGGAAGTCAAGACCTGGTCCTACCAGGGATTTCGGGACTCCCAGATCCGCTCCTTGCCGGTGAATCAGCCGGAGCCCTGGGGACGGGCCGTGGACCTGAAGAGCAGCAGGCTCCTGTCCCAGGCGGTGCTCCCGAAGGAGCAGACGAGCTCCATGGCGCACTGCTGCGTCAGGATGCGCGTGACGCTCGCGGCCATGTCCCCGCAGATCCGCAGCGCGCGGAAGTGCTCGAAGTCGGCGCGGCCCAGGCGGCGCAGCCGGCGCGCGGCCGCCCGGTAGCACCTCCAGGGCTGGGGCTCCACCAGCAGGAAGGTGCACAGCGAGGCCAGCAGCGCCAGGAACTCCAGCAGGCCCCCGTCGCCGTGGTTCAGGTGGATCCACATGGTCACCGACATGCAGAAGCCGATGTCGAAGGAGGAGCGGCCGAAGCGCTCCAGGTAGGAGCTCAGGAAGGGCTCCCTGGCCCCGGGGTCCATGAAGTCCAGGCTGGCAAAGGAGATGGATGCAGGGAAGGGGCTGCTCTGCTGGGCCCTCCGGATCAGCTCGGGGTCGATGTCGCAGCACAGCAGCTGCAGCTCCCTCGCGGCGCCCGGCGGCTCCGGGCCAGAACGGCTGTCCTGGAGCCCCAGGAGGTGCTGGTACAGAGCCACGCTGAGCTCCTGCGGGAGGAAAACAGGGATCCTGGGAGAGCTCCCAGAGCCTCCTCTCCGTGGCTGTCCAGAGCAAAATCTGACCAAGATCAGCAGAAGATCTGTCCCAGGGGCCCTGAGCACCTGGAATGGATCCCCGGTGTGGCGGCAGCTCTGGCCACAGAGAGCAGCACACAACTTTCCCAGGCATGGTTCAGGAAAAGTCTCTGAGAACATCAGAGAAAAGAATGAGAAACTGTTCTTATCTTCACTGGCTGCACCTGCTGTTGTGAACATGTATAATGATTTATTTACCAAACGGTGGTTTCTTAATTAGCCAGTGGTGATGGTATTTTAATTAGAGGACCAATTAGGTCTAGCTGTAGTGAACTAGGGTATAAAAGAGCAATGGGTTTCTCAATAAAGAAATTGCTCAATGATCTGTAAATGCCTGGAGTCTGTGTAACTTATCACCCCACCAGGGACCCCCCTGCGCTGACACCCCCACAGCGAGGGCCTGCTCCAAAAACCAGGGAATCATGGAATGCTCTGGGCTGCAGGAACCCAGCTCATCCCCCTCCACCTCTGCCACGGGACACCTTCCACAAGAGCAGCTGGCTCCTGGAATGTCCAGGTGCCCGCCCTGGAATCTCTTTCCACAGTGCACACTGATGGAAAGTGAACGAATCCTTAATTCCAGGAGATCCCACGGAACTCCTGGAGCTGCAGGACAGGCTGGGAATGTCCTCTGGGGGTGACAGGTGCCTCTCACTGACCTGCTCCACCGGCTCACCAGCAATGGGATCTGGAATTGCCCCCTGGGTACTGCCTCAGGGGGAATTGCAAGCCCCAGGAGCAGCAGCACTGTCCCAGCCAGGCTGGGTTTCAGGTGGGATCACCAGTTCAGCTTTGCTGGGCCAGGAGAGGCCACACCTGGATCCAGGGCAGGCCTCTGAGGGACTGGAATGTGTCTGGAGCTGGGAAAGGGCTGGAGCTCCAGTCAGAGCTGGAAATCCCTGAGGGAGCTGGGGGCTCATGTGGGACCTCCTCACTCTCCAGGCTGGACAGGAGGTGGAGCAGGAGGGGTGGGGATCTGCTCCCAGGAGCGGAATGAGAGGAAGCAGATCCCAGGGGAGGTTTAGGTTCGATTTCAGGGAAAATTCCTCATGGAAAGGGCTGTCCAGGGCAGGGGGGGGAGTCCTTTTTCCCAGGGGGAATTAACAGACCCAGGGCAATGTTTCTTCCCAGTCTGCCCCAGTCCTCCCAGCATCCCATGGAAGTCACTGTCCCACTGCTCCCAGTCCTTCCTCCACATGCTCAGCACTGCCTGCCCCATCCTCCCCATCTCTCCCAGCGCTCCCAGCACTCCTCACCAGTCCCATTGCCCTCCTCCCTCGTTCCCCACCAGTGTTCCCAGTCTGCACCATGCCACACCAGTGCCTCATCCCGAGCCTTTCTCATGGGCTGGATTGTCCCCCAGTGTCCCCAGTGCCTCCCCAGTGAGTCCCAGTGCCCCCAGTCCCAGGGGACTGCCAGTGTCCCCAGTGTCCCCAGTGCCCCCTAGCATTCCCCAGTGCCCCACAGTCTGTACCAGTCTCGCCCAGGAGCCCATACCAGGACTGCCCAGTCTGCCCCAGTGTCCCCAGCACCCCAAACTGGTGCCGCCCCAGCCGCCCCCTCCCGTCCCCCCCTCACCCCGGAGTTGCAGCCCACATCGAGCCCGAGGAGCGGGCGGGTGCCCGCGGGGAAGAGGCTGTGCAGGAGCCCCTGGGGCAGGAGGCTGACGCGGCCCTCGGGCGGGTGGAACCGGGAGTAATTGGGGAAGTTCCCGTAGGGAGCCGCGCCGGGCTCGGCGCCGCCGCGGCCGATGGGCGCCGCCATCTTCGCACCGCGCCGCGCGCCGGGCGGGAACCGCGGCCGAACAGAAACGGTCCGGGGCAGGAACGGTCCGGGGCAGGAACGGTCCGGGGCAGGAACGGTCCGGGGCAGGAACGGTCCGGGGCAGAAACGGTCCGGGGCAGAAACGGTCCGGGGCAGGAACGGTCCGGGGCAGGAACGGTCCGGGGCAGAAACGGTCCGGGGCAGGAACGGTCCGGGGCAGGAACGGTCCGGGCGGCGGCGGCGGCGGCAGAGACAGAGACACGGGACAGAGACAGAGTGACAGTGACAATGACAGTGACAGTGACAGAGAGAGTGACAGAGAGATTGACAGTGACAGAGACAGAGAGAGTGACAGAGACTGAGTGACAGAGAGAGTGACAGTGACAGTGACAGTGACAGTGTGACAGTGACAGAGACAGTGACAGAGTGACAGTGACAGAGAGAGTGATAGAGTGACAGCGACAGAGAGAGTGACAGTGACAATGACAGTGACAGTGACAGTGACAGTGACAGAGACAGTGACAGTGACAGAGAGAGTGACAGTGACTGTGACAGTGACAGTGACAGTGACAGAGTGACAGAGAGAGTGACAGTGACAGAGTGACAGAGTGACAGTGACAGAGTGACAGAGAGAATGACAGAGTGACAGTGACAGTGACAGAGACAGTGACAGTGACAGAGAGAGTGACAGGAGAGTGACAGTGATAGTGACAGTGACAGCGACAGAGACAGAGACAGAGACAGAGTGACAGTGACAATGACAGTGACAGAGACAGAGAGAGTGACAGAGAGAGTGACAGTGACAGTGACAGTGACAGAGACAGAGACAGAGACAGAGACAGAGAGAGTGACAGAGTGACAGTGACAGAGTGACAGAGTGACAGAGACAGAGACAGTGACACGGGACATGGGACACGGGACACAGACATGGGACAGCAATATGAGACACGGGACACGGGACACAGCACACGGACAGGGAACACGGGACACAGGACACAGGCACGAGACACGGGACACAGACACGGGACACGGTCACGGGACACGGACATGGGACACGGGAGAGTAACAGCGACACGAGACATGGGACACGGGACACGGACACAGGACATGGGACACAGGACACGGCCACGGGACACGGGACACAGGACACAGGACACAGACATGAGACACGGGACACAGACACGGGACACAAGAGAGCAACAGTGACACGAGACATGGGACACAGGACACGGACACAGGACA